CAGAGCTCTTCAAACTTGGCAACTTTAAGACTTGTGGACTTCAACTCCCAGAATTCCCCAGCCACAAGTCTTAAAGTTGCCAAGTTTGGGGACCCATGCACTAGAATATAAACTGAGAGCAAATCTCACTCCTTATTAGCATTGATGATGTCACCTAGTTTGGATAATGAAACATCTTCAAGAAAACAAAGAGCCCCGAGGATTTCTTGATTCTTACTGATTACGTGAAGGTTGTTTTTCAGGTGCAAATGCAGGTAACAAGGGCTTGTTTCCCCAAGACTTACAGAGTCTCCTTGAGTAGAGCATCCAGATGGGATGAAGGCAGGAGTCAGGGCAGGGTGTAACATCTGGGCCACTGGGAAGAACTGCCTCATGTGACCATTTGCTTCCACCCGGCTCTGCTTTCTTTCTATTGGGCCCTTAAGGAGGAATTAGTACCTGGTCGGAAGACCTCTGTGGGTTCGGTGCTGAAGGTGGGCAGCTCGGGTATAGCAACCCCAGGAGCAGACGGTGCAATGCCAGGGCCAAGGTCAGCGCTATACATGAGGTCTGCAGCAATGCCAGGCAAGTCGGGCAGATAGGATGGCACGTCTATCTCGGGTACTTGCCCTAGGTCTGGTACATAGAAGTAATTTTCAGCCACCTGAAAAACAGGCACAAAATGAGAAACCTCCAGAAAACCCTTTCTGAACTCTTCTGCTTCCACAATTAGTGGGTTTTTATATATATATATAAAAAAACAGTATAACAAACATTATCAATGGAGACCCAGTAGAGCAAGTGGCCAGTTTTAAGTTTCCGGGTGTTACCCTAAAAGAGGACCTGACCTGGGGTGCCCACATTACAGCCCTAGTCAAAAGGGCCCAGCAGAGATTATACTACCTGAGGCTTCTCAGAAAACAACAACTGAATGAGAAACTGCTGGTGACCTACTACCGCTGCACCACAGAGAGCATTTTAACGTACTGCACCTCTGCATGGTTTGTCAATTGCACAGTGGCAAATAGGACAGCACTCCAGAGGGTAAACCTCATTGCCCAGAGGATCATGGGTTGCCCTCTCCCCTCTTTGGAAGAGCTTTATAGCTCCTTCTGCCTTAAGAAAGTTCAAAACATTCTCCAAGATCCATCTCATCCTAGGCACCCTTTTTTTGAACTATTACCATCTGGCAGACGGTACAGAATAATAAAAACAAGGACAAATAGGCTGAAAAACAGCTTCTATCCCAGGGCAGTAGCTCTTCTGAATTCTGCTGTATAGTGCAGTGTTGATACAGTGTCAGGGGTTTTCGTTCAATGTGTGGAGAGTGAAGGATGTGTGTTTGTGTTTATTTTCATGGTCGTGGTCATGATGTGCACTGAAGATGGTGTTTGATTTTGTTGTACAAGGTGCAATGACAATAAAGTAAACTAAATTAAACTCTGCAAAAATTTTAAATGTGTATGCTAGCTAGAATCCTTATTGTACAGGTAGTCCTCAATTTACCACCATTCAAAACTACAACAGCATTGAAAAAAGTGACTTACAACCAATCCTTGCACTTATGACTATTGCAGCATCCCCGTGGTCAGCTGATTAAAATTTGGGAGCTTGGTAACCAGCATGCATGTAGGATGATTGCAGCATCCTGGGTTCATGTGATCATCATTTGCAACCTTCCTAGCTAGCTTCTGGCAAGCAAAGTCAACGGGGGAAGCCAAATTTGCTTAACTTCCACGTGATTCACTTAACAACTGCAATGATTAACTTAAGCACCATAGCAAAAAGGTTGTAAAATCAGGCATGAATCACTTAAGAACCATCTTGCTTACCAATGGAAATTTTGCTCCCAGTTGTGCTAGTAAGCTGAAGACTACCGTGCCTATAAATTTGTAACTCAGGGTTGATATGAAAGGTCCTTGGTGCCCTCCAAGTTTGGTTGCTTTCTTGAAGTCATTTCACTACCCTCAACACTGATGACGTTACCTAGTTTGTTTAATGAAACGTCTGCAAGAAAACAACCAAGCTCTGAAAGCACCAAGGACGCTTCACTACTGTACCTGTATTCCCAGTGTGCTCAGAGGATCCTCCTACTTCGAAATCAAAAGTAGGCTTATTGCAAATCATGTGGGCTATTGAAAAAAAAAAAATGCGAGTGTTTTGCCAAGGTATGTTCGCCATCAATCGCTGTGGATTTTAGCAAGTGAGAAGCACGGGAATTTTTCTTCTCCTCCCATCCTGATTAAGTAGCTCACCAGCTGATCAATTTGCCCCCTCTTGGTGATAGACAGAGGGGCGTCAAAAAGCTTTTCTTCCCCCTCTGACTCCAGAGCCACATGGGTCTTGGTTACTGCGCCAGCCAAAGGATCGAGAAAGACGTATTTCTTATACCTGGGGAAGAACAGAGGAAGAAAAGGAAAAGTCAGTCTCGTCTGTTTATTACAAAGAGAACAAAGCAAAGACGCTCAGGCAGGGAAAATGTATTTTCCTACATTATCAGGGTCTTTTTTGTACAGTCACTCCAGTGAAATACAGTGCTGGAATAACTTTCTGCCCACGGAGATTTCCAGGCACCAAACAGAGGTCGATCCCAGCCCAAGTCTGCCCTGATAGATCATGGGTTGTTGTTTTTTTAACCATAAAAACATGGGAGGAATCCAAAGGATTTTAAAAATCCTGCAGAAGCAGACTTCTCAGTGCTCGGTGCTTGTTCTGCAAAGCTTTTTTTTTTTTTTTTAACATTTACTTTGCTCGTGTGTTTTGAGACTGTCATACGCATTTTAATAAAGAAAAACTGAAGTTGACAGTTTATCCAAGGGACCAAGGCAGAGGCACAAGCCTAAAATCTAGTTCACATTTAATTAGTTATATCACCGGGGTTTGTAGAGAAGGGGGCAAAAGCAATATTTTGAGAACGCTACAAAATTAAAGAGGGATTTGCAAGAGTGGGGATAAACTTATCAACCTGTCAGTTTCTCCTCCACTTAATGTAATCAGTCCTGCATCAGCTCTGACTTGCCTCCTTTTCTGCCACCTAAGATTGGATGGCTTCCTCGTGTGCATCTATTATTTCATAAACATGATTTTGTTTAATACTAGCCAAAATAGTCACAGGAAAGTGCAATAAAAAAAAGGAGAAATGGGGCTGGAGAAAAAAGAGGGACAAAGCAGAGAGGCATCAACAGGATTTAAGGCTTATGCTGAGAAATAAGGATGAGGACTGGAAACTTGACTGGAAACTTGGCTTCAAACTGTTAAAGCCGAGGAAGACTGGGAAATGCTTTAAATTAACATGGGTGTCATACTCCCGTCGTCATGGCGGTGTCACATGACATATTGGGACTTTTTTCCCTTTGCTAAACCGGGCATGGGCGCGGCCAGCGCGTGACGCATCCAGCATGCAGGCTGGGTGTTTGACAGCCCTGCTTTAAAACAATATCACACCACCTATTTGGTCACTCAGGGCTAACGCAGAAATAAGCATCGGCATCAAAAATGGGTTGAGGACCACAGTCCTGGGACCGTCTTACCCTTTTATCAGTTGAGGGGTGTTCTTGAGGCTATTTCTTATTTTAGGCCCGCTAATCTTATCTGAAGGCTTAAGGCACTTTACAGGTAGTCCTCATCTTACGACCACAGTTGAGCCGAACATTTCTGTTGCTAAGGGAGACTGTTGTTAAGTGGGATTTGCCCCATTTTACGACCTTCCTTGCCACAGTTGTTAAGTGGATTTCTGCGGTTGTTAATTTAGTAACCCAGGTTGTTAAGTGAACCTGGCTTTGTTCTTCAGAAGGTCGCAAAAGGGGATCACAGGACCCCGGAATACTGCAACGGTCATCAATAGGAACCAGATGCCAAGGGTCCAAAGGTTGATTCATGTGTGTCAACTGTGCCTCCATTCAGAGTCCAAGAAAGAAAACCTTAGACTCCATTAAAATAGAGAAAAGTACTTTTGCTGGATTTGAAGTGAGAGCAACGAAAGGACAGCAAGACCTGAGGCAAATAGGTGCGGAAAATACATATTGAAAGTTATCCCAAGTCCTCTCCCATAGCAGTTCAAACTGGACATCCAATCTGAGGTGTGTATAACGTCCTGCGGGCTACATATTCAGGCGTCTCGTACATCTGGTAGGCCAAGGCGGTTGACCTTGGCCTAGAAAAGATAAGTGGCTGTAGTAGCGCAGAAAGCAGGAAAGCGTCCCATCTTTTACAGTTCACACAACTTCGACCTCCAGCATCCTTCCCCCACAAAGCACAATTATTCTTCACCCCCCATTTCCATGACAGCCGGCAAGAGTCAAGCAGTCAAAGATGTGAGGAAGAATTCTTGGAGGCTGACCATGTGACCCTGGGGATGCTACAACGGTCGCAAGTGTGAAAAGGGATCCTAAGTCACTTTTTCAGTGGTGTTTTAACTTCAAACCGTCACTAAATGAACTGTTAAATCGAGGACTGCTTATATTTGCTTAATTTACTGCCAGAAACCATTGCTGACTTTTGGGAGGTACAAGCCAGGGAACCTTGAGGAACACAAAAGGATGTGGAAGCCACATTCAACCAATGGATTTCTCACCCCTATAAGAATCTTTCCCCTTTTGAGAGAAGAGAGGAAGGCCAGTGGCAGTTTTGGGGTCACCAGAAAGGAAACGTGGCCCAGAGTAGCAACTACAGGGAAGACTTACAGGTTCTCGGTGGTGTTGAAGAGCAATAGGGAGCTGAGGGAGCTAATGTTTCTGGGAAGACTGCCCAGGCCTTCTTCTGCATCATCTTCATGGTGGACTCTGGTGGTAACTGAAACCGGGAAGTACTTCAACTTCTCCTACAAAATTCAAACATCAACAGCTCTTAACATCCCAGCAGCCCTTTACTTTGATGGTTTAGATTAGGCATTTAGAAAAACCTAAATCTACTGTTGAAAGTTAAAACTCACCCCTCTCCTAGAAAAATGAAATATCCTAGGAAATATTAAAAAGCCAGAATATCTCCCCTAAAAAGATTAGAAACTCGAAGAGCAGAAATACCTCAGAAGCAGAAGCTCACCCCCGCCTTTGTTAATGGGTGGACCATGAAGGCCTGGGCCAGAATACTTTACATAACAAAGATCTCCAGGTAAAGATATAGCAATTGCCCAAGAGCCCATTCAGTGCATCATCATCCATCAAGGCTCAACCAAGCCTGGAACTCAGGACACCCTACAGAGTTGCCCCTGCATGGCCCCATGAGAGTCTGACAACCAATTCAAATCCCAACAAAGGTTATTTAAAACCCAGGCACCCTCAGCATATCTGCCCTTCTTGATCTCCTTTCACCTTGGAGCACGTGAGCATTCTTCTCACTTTGGAGCTCCAGGCCGTGTGGTTCTGTCCATCATTAAGCCATCTTTCCTAAAAGCCTCCATGTTTCCAAGTGTCTTTTTCCCCACTTGGAACTGAACCCAGAAGGATATTTCTTCCAACGTTACCAATGCCCCTCAGACTCACAGCTCCTGCCTTTCTTTCCTGCTGTTGGTTCTCACCTGTAGTATGAGAAAAGGTCAGTGTAATGACGTCTCACGGCTTTGTTGTAATCTCAAACTGATTCAGTGGGAGGGACTGGGGTACAAAAAGCAGCATGTTACAGCAGGCAAACCTCTTAATCAGTCCAACTTGCAACGTAGGCTAGAATTCAGGCAACTAACTCCTGCCGTTGTGGTTCTGGTTCCCATTAGTTACTGGAAATCAGTTCGCTGCAATCCCATTTTGCTCCTTACTACTGTTGGAAGAAATATTCTTCTGGGTCCAGTTCCAAGTGGGGAAAAAAAAGACACTGGAATCATGGAAGTTGCTAGAAAAGAAGGTTTAATTATGGACATGGCTTGGAGATCCTGGGTGAAAAGGGCGTTCACGTGCTTCAAGATGTTGGGTGAAGAAAGAAAAGAGCCGAGATGCTGAGAGTGCCTGAGTTTTATACCCTCTATTGAGCCCCACCTTAGTGTTTCCTGTTTCTGTGTAAGAAATGGATCTCATTGGCTGTCAGACTCCCAGGGGTCGGGGGTCTTAGCTAACTTTGTAGGCTTTGTCTGTGTCCCAGGCTTGTTTTGAGTGCTGGCTGATGTAATCTTCCGAGGTGCCACGTGGTGAGATGAGTAGAGAGCGTACATAAGCGCACCAATGTGCCTACCGTCCCTGTCCTATTGTTTCTTTTATTTTTCTTAAATGTACCCATTTCATGTATTCATAACTATGTATATACTTATACCTATTATCTTGTAAGCGATTGACAAATCAAAATTAAAAATAAATATCTTTGTTATGTAGAATAGACTGGCTCAGGCCCTAATGGCCCATTGACAAAGGTTGTGGGGGGAGGGGAGGCTGAGTTTCTGCTTCTCTTTTAGGGGAAATATTCTGCCCCTTTAGTATATCCTAAAATATTTCATTTTTCTAGGAGAGGAGTGATTTATAACTTCCAACACTACAAACGATCTAATCGTCTATTCCCTTTTCCAAACTCACTGCTCTGGCCTTATCTCGCACCCCATACATCAGGGGTGTCAAACTCAAGGCCAGGGGGCCAGATGAGGCCTGCGGGGTGTTTAGATCTGGCTTGCAGGGCTGCCCTGGAAAGAGCAAATTTGACGATTGCAGGCGGCCATCGCAGCTGAAAATGGAGCTCAGGAGCCCATTTTCGCTGGCAGAGCGCTCGGCTGCCACAGGCGCCCCTGACACAAGTGACGTTGAGCTGCCCTCACCCCCCCCCGGCCACACTCACCTCGCTCCCCCCCCAGAGGTCAAACACAACCCTGAGGTGGCCCTCAATGAAATCGAGTTTGACACCCCTGAACATACATTCTCTGTCTAGCCTGAACTGGGTATTTTAGAAAGCCTGAAGTCCTAGAGAGTCACTATCAAATGTAAACAATATTGAGATGAGTAGATTAATATCAAAATAAAATAAATCTTAGTGTTATTTGCAAGAGGTTAAGTATTTTCTTGAAAATGTTTTGTGGCCTGGGGAAATAAACCTCTTGTTATGTTAATAGGAGTGATCCCTACAGATGGATATTTTCTGATGGGTTAAAAAAAAAATCACAAAAAATATAGTTAACTGCACGTAACACCTTGTAGCATACAGAGAATGCTTTTACTTATTTTCTCCTAATATGCAAAAAAAAAAAACCATGCCAAAAGTAAAAAAAACCCTGCAAATTACGCAGCATTAATTCTTTGAGTTATATTTTTCTGATGCGGGCCTTAAAAATGCACTTTTTTTTCTGATGTAAGCTCTCCTTTTAGACATAATTAACTGCTGCACTGTACAGCGTACAACTTTCAGGAGCCAACTTTATTTCCATATGTGTAGTTTCAGCAGATTTTTCAAGGAAGGAAAATTCATCTTAGCTGATTTTTCTCCACTGCAAAGTCAGACGCGGGGAAAGAAAATGCCCAAATCTGCTTTTTAGGGAACAGTTTCTAACTTTAGCAGTTTTAAGATGGGTGGACTTCGACTTTCAGAATTACGCAGCAAGCATGTTGGGAATTCTGGGACTTGAAGTCCACATGCCTTGAAGTTGTCAAGGTTGAGAAATCCCTTATCGTAGACAAAAGGACAGTATGTTTGATCAATGGGTGGGTCAAGTTTCAAGTAGAAAAGGAAGAAGAAGCTATTTTGGGTGGATTCCAAAACTCTCTGCATATCCTGTACATTGGTGCACTGAGTTCTGAGGCTAGGCTGAAATATTCATGCTACTTTTACCGTGACTGATTTTGCTTCCATTAAACTACAGAAAAATGCAAAGCGCTGAATTATTCAACCGCAGCTTATTTTAGGGGGTTTTGAGAAAGAAAACAAGAGTTTAAGCCTGAAGCAGCTTCACTGGCCCTTGTCTGGTAGGATAGCTTTTTCCTTCTGCATGAGGATCCAGATGTATATATCAGTGGTATCCCAAGAAATTAACATCATAAAATAAATTCTCTGGGGGATGATGGAACATGTCCTTGGCTAAGAGAGTTGTTGAAAAGAAAAGAAAAGTCTCTACAGTATTAGTTGCTCTTCCTTTGTTGTTGACTGTCCTATGCAGTCACTGGAGACTCCTAAATATTGGGAAAACTGCCAGCTTAATTTTAACTCATCTGCTCAGAAGAATGTACTCAGGGCTTATGCACACAGAGTCCAAACCAGGAACTACAATATTCTTTGTGGAAGTTCAGTGACTGGAACAAAGACTGTACAAAAAGGAAGCACTAATTCAAAGCTGCCGATAACTAGAGATGCACAAAACCGAACCACAACAACTTCCTGCTGTGGAAGATTTATTTCTAGAAAACTGCTTGATCACCCCAAGAGTGACTAGATCAGCAAGGTCAGGAGGAAAAACAGAATGTTCCAAAATTTCCCAAAACATTTTACACACTCATTAATAAATATCGAAGGAATCTTAAGTTTTCCAAAAAAATACACCCTGAAAAGACCCTAGACTACAGGCAGGAAAGAGCAGGCAATAGCTAAGGGAAATGCGAACTTCCTCATCGCTCCTTTCTCTACTCATGTAGACATTGATTAGAGATCAGATAACGTAATTCAGGGATGCAATTTATCCCGCACCTCCCAACGACACAATCCTTGAACCCAGAGATTGTGTGTGTAATATACAAACAAAAGATTAACTTATAAGGTCCTGGTGGCACAGTGGTCAGAATGCAGTATTGCAGGCTGACTCTGCCCACAGTCTGGAGTTCAATCCTGATCAGCACAAAGTTAACTCAACCTCCCATCCTTCCAAGGTTGGTAAAATGAGGACCCAGATTGTTGAGGCGCAATAGGATGACCCTAAACAGTGTAGAATGTGCTGTAAAGCACTATGAAGCAGTATATAAGTCTAAATGCTCTTGCTGTTATTTATTTACTTATTTATGCATGTGACTGAATACTGTACAAGCATAAAAATGCAAGCTCATTGCTAGGGGGTCATTTTTAAAATAGTTTTATAGATTCCTTTGGGGGCTACAGAATAATCCAAGCAGATTCTTATGTAAAGAAGTTTTTTTTTCTTCTTCCAATCCATGCAATACTTTTGCTGCCTGGACCTCCTCAGGCAATTCCTGTCCTGATTCAGAACTATGCTGCCTGACGCACTCAAAAACCCAAAGCAAAGGGAAGCCTCTTGAGTAAGAAATGTAATTGTGTGTCCTCTGACTCCCATCTGGCCATCCTCACCTGTAAGGACTTCTCATCCAAGGGTCTGTGCTTGCTCTGAATTTTGTGCCTTGGTTGTTTCTGTGCCTCTGGATCCTGAGCGCCAGCGAAGATGGAAGCATATTCTTGCAGCCGTTCTGGGGCAGGGAATTTGGAGCTGGAAAACACCTAGGAGAGGAAAAAAAATGTAAGGAGAGAGAATTGAAGCATGGAAAGTAGGTTGCCAGCACATAATCAAGATAGCCGGGTGGTTTTTAACAGAAAAAAGAAACATACATCTTTCATGTGCTAATACAGAAGTAGGAACTATGAACGAACTACCTTGGAATTTAATTCCTCACCTACAAAATAATCTACAAGACTCTGATTACAGGTAATCCTTGACTTAAGACTACAATGGAGCTCAAAATTTCCACTGCCACATAAGACAGTTTTTAACTGAGTTTTTGCCCCATTGCATGACCTTTTTGCCACAGTTAAGTGAATCACTGCAGTTAAGTGAATCATGCAGTCATTAAGCGAATCTGGCTTCCCCCATTGACTTTGCTTGTCAGTGTCATGCCCCTGGTGGAGACTGACTCTGAGGGAGAGGAGGAACAGCTGACAGTGAGTGGAAGTGTGGCTCCGGAGGTTGTGGAGGAGGCTGGGGAAGGGCCGAGGCTGGCTGGGCAGTCAAAGGAGGACCCAGGTCCACCCCTTATCCATCCTAGGGCACGTAGGGAGGAGAGGATAAGGGAGAGATGTGGTCTACTTGGGAGGAGGGGACCTTCGTCCTCTTCATGGGCTGCAGGTGTGACAACTGAATAAGAGGAGGGGCCTGCGTATGGGCGAATGCTGGAAACAAAGCGTGGAAATATCTCTAGTTCATGGTTCCTCTCTGAGTTTGGTGTCCTTCCCAGTGTGTGTTTTCTGTGGACGTCCTCCAGCCCTTATCTTGCCTGGTTTGTGTTGCTTTTTCCCTGCTTCTTGTAACTGTTTTTGTGGGAGTTTTTTGGCTTCCATCAAGAATATTCGGAGCTTGGAAGCAAAGTGAAGGAATAAAAGGGGCTTCACCTGTTTTCTGTGACTGTGTTTGTTTTGTATCCCACCCTGGGTCATCACAGTCAGGAACTGGCTGGGAAGGTTACAAATGGTGATCTCATGACCACCAGGACAGCTGGCATAAGTGCATGCCCATCGCCAAATGCCTGAATTTTGATCATGTGACCATGGGGTCACCAGCTTCTGGCTTAACATTCCAGAAATTTGCATTCTGGATGCTTCTAAGAATGCTTAAAAAATACTGCTGAAAGACAAAGAGGCTCTGGAATATAATAAAACAGTGAAAATAAACAGGCTTTACTACCCGATCCTCAAACTAGATCGTGGCTGTTACAGAAGGCAACAGATTAGAGCACCCTCTTTCCTTAATATACTGATTATTACTGCAACCACTTTGTATTCTGCATTAAAAAAAAAGCACGCATTCATGCAATTGTGAACTGTGTGACTGCTCTTGCAGGCAGCTTGGCCTTTAATCACAGGTTAATGGAAGCAACGTCATTCAAAAGAACCATTGCAATCAGTATTCAAACCTTAATAGCCTTCTTGCTGCCTTTTATCTTCTCAATTTTGGCTTGGGCAAGGGTGACCCGCTCATTGATTGCTCGTAGTTGTGCCCGGCTGGCTTCCACTTGTTGGGAGATCCTAAGAATCAATCAGTCAATCAATCAGTTTGCAGCAGCATTTAACTAATGGGCAAAGAGAAAGAGTTCTCTGGTTGGTATATAGATTAAGTAAAACAATGTCTTTCCAATAAAATAGCTATCATTTAAACACCATCAATTGCCTTCCTATTCCCCTAATAAAACCAACCAAGACAAAGGTTGTCATAATTTTGCTAACAAGACCATCAAATAGCAGTAGCATTTAAGGTTATATACCACCCCATAGCACTTTTACAACACTCTTTGGGCTGTAATGTAGAAGCATTATTTGTATATTGTCCCCAACAATCTGGGTGCTCATTTTACAAACTTAGAAAAGATGGAAGTCAACGTTGAGCCCCATCAGGATTGAACTCCAGGCAGTGAGCAGAGTTAGCCTGCAACACTGCAGTTTAATCACTGTGCCACCAGGCTGAGAAACAACAGTAATGATAATACAGTAATAACAAAAGAAATCCATGTAGCTCTACACATCTTGACAATACCATATTAGGATAAGATATATTACATTATTATTCTATATCTGTTTGCCACATAGGGTCAATTTGGATCTTAATCACTCTCAACCTGTTTGGATCCCCACATTATTTCATGTTTGGGTTAGAAAGTCAACACGAGGCAAAAACAAAAACAAAAAACACCTTCAGGAATGACCCAAAGGTGCTTTTTTTCAAGAGGCAACTGGACTTTCTGGTTTTTCTTTGAAGACGTTTCGCTTCTCATCCAAGAAGCTTCTTCAGTTCTGAAAAGCAAAGATGTTCTGAAGAGCTGAAGAAGTTTCTTGGATGAGAAGCGAAACGTCTTCAAAAGAAAACCAGAAAGTCCAGTTGCCTCTTGAAAAAAGCACCTTTGGGACAACCATGGCCAGGATGACTGAGAATCTCCATAGACCTTAAGGAATGAATGTTCAAGTTTGAGAGAAACGAGAAAAGGTTTCTGAGCCTACTCGTAATAATGGTTCAGAAGCCACAGTAAATGTAGCAACCTGGCTCCAAGCAGGGAAGAGTTGGTTGAGTAACATTATGCCAGTGTTTAGGTTGCTGCCAAAAAGCTTTGGGTCCAATTTAAGGTGTTGGTTTTAATCACTGTACCAACATTGAAATCTTGAGGCAGTTTCCTTGTTGATCTAATCTCTTGTGTATTTTATGTTACTAAATTTTAATTAGTTTTAGTTTTAATTTTTCAAAACTTTAATAGAATAGAATTCTTTATTGGCTTTAATAGAATAGAATTCTTTATTTACTGGTACAAATACTCTCAGTATACATAAAGGGAAAGATACATTCGTCAAGAGTTGAGAATCATAAGTACAACACTTAATGATAGTCATAGGGTACAATAAGCAATCAAATCATACTAGGAAACAGTCAATATAAATCGTAAGTATACAAGCAACAAGGTTACAGTAATACAGTCATAAGTGGGAGGGGATGGGTGATAAGGAGCGATGAGAAGATTAACAGTAATAATAGTGCAGTCTTTGTAATAGTTGAACAATGTTGAGGGAATTATTTATTTAGCAGGGTGATGGCTTTCAGGAAAAAAACTGTCCTTATGTCTAGTTGTGCTGATGTGCAATGCTCTATAGCGTCGTTTTGAGGGAAGGAGTTGAAACAGTTTATGTCTGGGATGTGAGGGATCTGTAAATATTTTCACAGCCCTCTTTTTGACTCGTGCAGTATACAGGTCCTCGATGGAAGGCAGGTTGGTAGTAATTGTTTTTTTCTGCAGTCCTAATTATCCTCTGAAGTCTGTGTCTGTCCTGTTGGGTTGCAGAACCAAACCAGACAGTTATAGAAGTGCAGATGATAAACTCAATAATTCCTCTGTAGAACTGTATCAGCAGCTCCTTGGGCAATTTGAGCTTTCTGAGTTAGATATTTCTCCTAGGTAAGATAAGGAAAGCTCTAACTCAGTCTTCCCTATGTGTTCATCTCAAGAGGAATATTAGCAGGTTTCCATTCCTTATGAAGCAGGGATGTCAGTGCTACACAGTAGAAAGCCTTGTCCATTATTTTCCTTTTACTACATGGTTAAAACCACTATGTTCTAGTGAGTCTTTAGTGTAAAGCTGGATCTGGGTATCACTAAAACTTTTTTGGTACTATTGGATGATTATTGTTTGTTTGCTCCAACACAGGAAGTTTTTAAGAAGAGATTGGACAACTATTTGTCTGAAATGGCATAGAGTTTCCTACCCAGTTAGAGAGTTGGACTAGAAGACCTCCAAGGTCCCTTCTAACTCTGTTATTCTATTGTAAAATACTTCACATCTTAAAAGTATGGCAGTATATAAACACCCTATATAAAACAATAGATAAATAAAATATGAGATTATATACTAGGTATGATTGTCAAGTGACTAATACAGACGTGACTGGCCAAAGAAAGTCTTTCAAAAAGTAAATAATTATTATATCCAGAATAGAGAGCCAGTTTGGTGTAGGGGTTAAGGCACTGGCCACAAAACAGAAGACTGTGTTTTACTTCCATTTTAGGCACAAAGCCAGCTGGGTGACCTTGGGCCAGTCATTCGCTCCCAGCTCTAGGAAGGAGGTAATGGCAAACCACTTCCAAAATCTTGCCAAGAAATCTGCAGGGATAAATCCAGGCAGTTATCAGGAGTCAACATTGACTCAAAGGCACAATCAGTCAATCAATAACCCAGAATAGTCATCACACACATGAAATGTCTCCAAAAAGAGTGCTCATTTACATGTCTGAGCACGTTTATATTTAATAATCAACAAATACCTGTAAATAATTTAACATCCTCTTTTTAACAAGAGAAAATTTCCTTGTTAAGCCAGCTAGAACATATGAAACCGTCTTCTCTCCAAATAAAATCCAGCCTAAAGTACTAGCTGCACGAATGAAACCACGTCAAGTTTTCCCTAAGTCATTAAAGCTGAAGTTGGAAACAAAGAACCGTTATAATCCTTCACACTAAGCCAGTGAAAGAGTGATTGATATTTGCAGTAGACAGATTAATGTCCTCCCCTTCCCCAATTTTGCAAAATAAATATATTGATATTAAAGGACAGAAACAGTGTGCCAATGAAGGAGAACACCAATCATAGTCACTGACACAGCCAGCCCTCTGTTGCAGAAAACCAGCATTTAAATCAGGCAGTCCTGATTCATTATTTTTCCAACTTCAAGGATTCTATGTAGGCTGAATGTGCGGGTGGGGGGAACAAACTGCTGTTACAACCTGGAGAATAATTTACAGGATTGTCAGTATTTTATTTATTTATTAATCCAATTTACATGGTTATCCATCAATCACGCTGAACTAAATAAAAACAAGGGATTCCTAAAAAATTCAAATACAACTATATCAAGCCTCAGCAAAACCAGATATACCTAAGTCATGCCAGAGCCGCATACTAACATCCTGACCCAGTCCTTGGGGGAAGAGCCAGAGCTTCACAGCCTTTGAAAAGGTCAACAAAATGGGGACTGCATATATTTTTGGGGAGAGACTGATACATAGGGTAGGTGCCATGACGGAGAAGACTCACTTCCTAGGTCCTACCAAGTGACATTGCTTTAATGACAGAATCATAGAACTACGCTGCCTACGGTTGGACTTAAGCGTAGTACACAAAATTATCTGCTACAATGTCCTACCAGTCAATGACTACTTTAGCTTCAACCGCAACAATACAAGAGCACACAACAGATACAAACTCAATGTAAACCGCTCCAAACTTGATTGCAGAAAATACAACTTCAGCAACAGAGTGATCAATGCCTGGAATGTACTACCTGACACTGTAGTTACATCCTCAAACCCCCACTCCTTTAATCTTAAACTATCCACTATTGACTTTACTCCATTCCTAAGAGGTCTGTAAGGGGAGTGTATACTGAGAGCATTTGCACCAAGACAAATTCCTTGTGTGTCCAATCACACTTGGCCAATAAAGAATTCCATTCCATTCCATTCCCTATATTCATACTCATATTTATTCTTATATCTCTTATCTTGTAAGCGATTGACAAATCATTTTTTTTTTAAAAAAAGTCCTCTCTGCCACATCTCGTAGGATGGGTGGAAGCCACGGGGAAAGATGGTCCCTCAAGTAACCTGATGTCCTGTACTGTGGTCTTTAAAGTGACAAAGGGCACCCTGAATTCTGGGTGACAGTGTAACTCATGTAGTTGTGTTATGGATGTACTACGTGATACCTCATACTGCACACAGCACTACATTCTGGACCAGCTGGAGCTTTTGAAAGCTCTTCAAGGTTAGTTCCAGTATTTTGAATGAATTTTTATCTCCTTTTTATTTTTGATCAACTCAAAGTAATACAGTAATATACGTAATGTATGCATACCACCTATTTTTCTCACAACAACCTTATGAAGTAGGTTGTGCTAGCCCAATCACCCAGCTGGCTTTAATGACTGTGGATAGACTGGAGCTCATGGTCTCTCAGTTAATAGTCCAGCATTTAGCCATTATACCATACTGGCTCCCAATACAAAGAAGATTTTTATCCACATGATTGTCCCCAAGTGTTTAGGATCATAACGTACATCACACTTAAAATTTCAGAACCCTGGAGAGAACTGATGCATATTAACGACCGTGAAGAATATCTCAGATGAAGGCGACAGAATGAGACAACTTGCCATGGCCAACTCTCTGCGGTCATCTTGCCACTGCTGACTCACCATGGGACAAATCGTTGCGGCCAATTTGCCATAGGACAATTCCACGTGTGACTGTTCTGACCCAAACCTTGTTCCAAGTAAACAAACACCAAACAGAGATAAAAGCAAAACCTTTTAATGCTTCTTTGCGAATTCCGTTAATTCACGATTAAAAAGCTATCAAAACTAATTGTCTCTGATAAGTACGAGCCTTGCTAAGGTTGTACAAGGCTGCCAAAAGCAGTAGATTAAGTTGCCAAGAAATATTCCAAACAAAAAATCATCGAACACAAACTAAGATAGTCCGAACTTCCACAA